CGCAGTTTACGTTGCTACCGGCACCGGCTTTTCGGCAAATGCTTCTAGCTAAACAAATTAAGATTGGCTGCCTGTCAGAAAACATCCCTTTAAAAATACAGCTTTCTAGCTCCCCTGGTTTCTGAGTTAGCAACTTACTGGAAAAAAATTTTCACGGGCCCGTGCGTGCTTACCATGCATGCCCGAGAGTTAAGTTTGAGCGGAATGAAATTTAGATGGACGGGGTATATCCTCTTAAAATTACAATCCTTTACCTTTTCAGGTACTCGAGTTATCAATTTTGGTATGCTGGTACCACGCTTACCCGGGGGCTGGGTTATTCTTGATCATAATGGGAGTTAGCTCATTTTGATATGAATCGACCGATGCCGCAATTCGCTGTATTTTTGCTGTACGCCACCATTCATATAACTGAGAAATTGCTTGATTTTCAATAATTTTATAACTTGAAAAAAGGCATTTAATACAAGAGAACCTGGCATAGCCGTGCGGTGTGCATCAAAGTTTTGCAGTAAAACGGTTGGTCTAGGGAGAATTCTACCGATGATCTTTGATCGAGTGCAGTATCTCTTGGATTAAAAAAATTTTCTCCCGCTACGCATGAAAAAACCACAGCGCTTAGCTTTTTACATAATCAGGATTACTGTTATTCCATTCTCATGAGGAGAGTGGGACTGCATTTTTCGCGGATTCTAGAACATGAAAGCACTGCCATCGATACTATTCGTTAAGCCTACCTGACTGCCTTCGCAGCTTTTTGGGATAAAAACGTTACGTAGAAATCGAAGTGCTTTAAGTTATACAGCTCTATTGTGTGCAAAGATCATTATTAGGATCGTTGATTTTGAAGGAAATATTTGGCTTTGTACAGTCCCTCACCAGCAAGACTAACATATGATGCGCGGTGTGCTCAAATCCCTGGCTTGAAGGCACCCAGTATGCTGGTGCGATCACGCATTGCAGCAGTCACGTCGATACCAGCGTCATTAGTTCATGCGTTACAGTTTAACATGTTTTGCTTGCTCTGT